CATTTGGATACCAGTATTAGTAAAGAACCCTTTTTCACACCTTTAGGCGTATTGGGCATATAGAGCTAGACATATATTTAATGGCCCAATCCGCACTTGCTGGGTGATGAGGTCAGCATCACACGGCCGCCTTTGCCTCCTAGGATTACACCTGGTACCCATTCAAGACTAGGTCGACCTGGTTCATGACTTCAGGCCTCGATCTTCCCCTGCTGCACTTTATCGGACTCTCGGACAGGGACAAAACGAAATGGGGACTTTGCAACAGGTTTTGTGATTTGATGTTATGTTGTCGCTGCGGTAGCAAATTAAATCAGCTGACTACTTTAACGATCCGAGTGAAAAGTTAACGGTTGGTTCATCTGTTATGTGTTAGAATTTGGCGTTTGGCAAAGAGACACTGGCAGACTTGGGAAACATTGGCTTTAAGGGATAAGAAGCTTCTTTCCATTAGGGACTCAGACCAGTCTACCGAGACCTATCCCCGTTGGGTCCAGAGCCGGCTCGAAGATCTTTCTTAAGCTCGTTTCCTCTCACGTTCAGCTGCTTCAGCACATTGTATGTGGAAATGGAGATAAAACCTCTTGCGCCCACCTCGACGGCGACGATTTTAACTGCCAAAGCTTCGTCTCTCCTCAGACCGACCACAAGCTCATCGTACTTTTCGAGCTTGTGAAGGTGATTTTCCTCCAAGCTTGGCAGGACTTCAGGACCGCATTATATTCACACATGGTTCTAGCACCATATATTTAGTACGCTTCCTTGCATAAAAAAAGAGACAATCATCATTGTATCATGAACTCAAACAAATCGTCTGACGTGTATGCCCTCATTTAACATCTGATGCAGACAAAAACAATATCGCCTCCAATACTCTTTTCCTTAAGTGGATATTACATCACAGATAAACCTTTTTTTTCTCAAAACAGTGAAATGCAAAGCTAAACCTGACATTAATCCCTCATTCAAATAATAGACCAGATTTTGTCTGTGAAAATCAGATAACTCATTTGTAGAGACTAGTGTCGACATGCAGACGAGAATGTACGTCTGCAAACCAGGAAAATACTGTGGATTAATATCTACCATTGGATGTTTTAAAAAATCCGCTAATCGATGCAAGACAGAGATTATTGTCAGATTTAGCTTTGCATTTTACTGTTTTGAGAAGGCATGTTTTTAAATTTAGATTAATCGTCTTGCATTTATTGGCGGATTTATTTCCTGAACCAAAAGACAGACAATACTCCAGATATGAAGAACGCGCCCACTGAAAAGTTTAAATCAATATCCATGTCGTTGAGGACTGTAAAGCCGAAGCATTTACTTCCAAAAGAAGACACTAGAAGACGGGAATGGAGATGTACATCGTGATCCGTCCTTCTATACAGCAGCCAAACTGGTAAAATCATTCTTTAAAGCAACAGAGACAAAATAATACAAAATATCCTTTGCCCTGACTCCATTATCTTAACACCTCTGGAACGTACCACATTCAGCATGCATGCACTGTCCATACTTATTCCTCCACTAACTGCTGCAAACACACCCACTCCGTTGACTCTTTCATTACCTTTCACGCCGGTGTGTCTTGGTTGCTATGTACATCTCAGATATTGTTTGAGCCGGGGTTTATGGATGCTGTCACACTCATTGTTTGTGAAGTCTGCCAGTTTGAATCTTTTTCAACTCTCTCAGTGAGTCAACATCACTGCTTGAGTTACTTTCTGCTTCGCCAGCCATGCAAGTGTCCTCGTGAAAGCTGCTATCTTCACCGCATGCCAGAAGTAGTTGGCTGAGTGCTTAATTTTCCTCTTCTGCTCCTCTTCAAATTCACCTGAGCATTTGCCCACTCCGCAAATCAATGAGCCCACTCTACATATAATGATACATGAGAATACTCCAGAATTCTTGGGAATTACCCTTAAAGAAATAGGCAACATAGAAGAGAATCGGTCACCTGATCTCATACGCTCATAGCCTAGCCAGGAGCGTCGCCATAAAGAAAAAAAATTTTTTTTTTGGAGGGGAGAAGTGCTAAAATCTTGTCTTGCTTAAATGTTCAAAAATAATAAATGAAATTTTTGGTTTAACTATTATTTTTTTTTTTTTTTTAGGTCTTTGAGGTCCTTGCCGGTACAAAACTATTTGGGGAGAGAGCATTCAGAGGGCTTAAAAGGCACTTGTAATAATCAGTATTAACTTATAATAGGCATAATTAGCATAATTTTGCGTTGAATGAAATATACAGACACTAGCAGTACCCGCCACGCGTTGCTGTGGCCCAGTCTTTCAAAATGGAAAAGAAAGAAAACAGAACGCACACGTGTCTAATATGGGTAACATCAAAATTGGTGTCTGCGCAGATATGCAGACAGTTTGATTTGCTGACTTCACGCAGCATATAAGTGTTATTATATTTGTGGTGGTTTTAATTGTATTACTAGGACTTAAAAACATAGTTATTTATGTGACACATGCTAAAGTTTTTTTTTTTTTTTTCTATCAGCTGAAAGTAAAGTTGACTACTGTACTTCCAAATTACCAATAGACTAGCAAGAGAGGAAAAAAATTGAGTATAGCCGAAAAAGCGTTATTAAAATATAAATAAGGAAAAAAATGAAAACTTTAAAATCATGTTTTAAGCTCAAATAAAATTATTTTTAAGCTCTCACAGTTAACAGTGACTGCCATCACCGCCCCCCCCCTTTCCAGTCCACCGACTACTCGTCTCTCCCTCATGCAGACGAAAATGGACTTTAAGCTGTCTCAGTTACCAGTGTCTATCATTACCCTCCCATCCTTTGTCCTTCCAAATCCACTGACTACTCATCTCTCTCTCTCTCTCTCTCTAACCTAAGAAATGCCCACATCTTAAAATTTCCATACAATCTGTCAACAACTCTTCGACCAGCTTTATGCAGATTTCTGAAATCAACAGTCAAAGGTCGAATATCAGTGTAAATAACATCTTTGGACAAAGAAAAAAAAATTGGATCATCGAAAAACAATACCAAGATGACGACATGATCTTCGCTGGAGCTGTGTAGGTCATGCCTTGTACTACACTCTTTGAAAAAAAAAATTCGCATAGTCTAATGCAACGCTGTGTAAAATTTTGAAAGCAATGGAAAATGTCAAAGCAATCAGTACGGATCATGAAGGGAAAACGCACGTATTAGCAGCCCTGATTAGCAGTCAACGCTGTGGAAGTAATAACAATTCCTGGCCGGCAAGGTAACAAAAACCAATGTAATCGTTGCTGGGGCTACGTAGTTCGTGGATTCTGCTATATAAAAACACCCGCGTAGTCAATTGCGCCGCTATGTGAAAACCTAAAAGCAATCAGGAAAGAATTTTCGGAGACCAGCTTTTACAACTGACGAAACTTTACCTTTTTATTATTATAGAATAACTCTGCCCAGCCACGCGTTGCTGTGGCCCAGAATGGTGAAATGGAAAAGAAAGAAAGTAGCTCTCAGCTAACAGTGTCTGTCATAACCCTCACCCCCTTCCCTCTCCCCTCCACCCAGTCATGTCTCCCTGGCGAAAGTATTAAAATAGAAATAGTTAAGAAATGAGAACTTGAAAATAATTATTTAAGCTCTCTCAGCTAACAGTGTCTGGCATAACGCCCCTCCCCCACAACTTGAAAATAATGATTTAAGCTCTCTCAGCTAACATTATCTGACATAACGCCCCTCCAACCTCCCTAAATAATATGTCCCTCTCCGAAGGAATAAAAAATCATCGCTTGGCGAAATTATTAATATAGAAATAGTTGAGAAATGGTAACTTTAAAATAATGTGTTAAGATCGCTGCCTGTTGTCACCACGGACTGTAATTGAGCTCCCACCAAAGAAAAAGAAAGAAGAAAAAACTCCATCATATAACCAGTGATGGAACCCACAGTAATAGTCCGTTCTATACTTACAAATGGCGGGGGAAAAAAACCACCCGACATCTCCCCTCTCCGAAGGGACGAATGTTAAATGACCTTGGCATCCGTGTCCACCCAAATTAGACTGGACTGTAAGCAGTCTTAGTTAACAGCTTCTGTTATCAACGAATAGTTTATGATCGAGTGAAGCGTCGCGGTGAGGATAAATGGGACTTTACTGAAATCGGATGTCTTTGGGCGAAAGGTGCAGATATCGCAGCCTAGCTGTAAACCACAACACAACATGCCAACAGCCCTCCTGACTAAAAAAGAAAAATTAGCCCTCAGTGGGTAATCGAACACCGGTCAACCACGTAAAGGGGGGAATACGTACGCCTATACTACCTAGGACTGAAGAGTTTGGGTCCGATATCTCAGCCTAACTGTAAAAATCATCACAACGTGCCAACAGCCCTCGCAAGGGCGAACGAAGCTTACCCGTGACATGACCAACATCACGTCGACGGTATCGCAGGCTAGCTGTAAACCCCCAAAACGAGCGGGAAAAAGACATAGATATCGCAGCCTATCTATAAACCACAAAACAACGTGCCAGCAGAATAGTTAAGGGAAAAAAAATTTAATCACCGAGCGGGCCATTGATCGCCAGTCACCCGCACAACACGCAAAATATACAACTATGCTACCAAGGACTCAAGCATCTGTCGAATTATATCTCCCTGTCCGAATGATAGGGCACAGATAGTTGTTAAAATAAAAATAGTTAAGAAATGAGAACGTTAAATAATATTTCAAGCTCTCTCAGTTAACAGTGTCTGGCTTATAACCCCCCTCCCCCACCCCCACCACCTTGTGACAATCATATCATCCTCTACGAAGTATGGGAAAGTCATTGCCTGACGAAATATCGTTGTTAAATTGAGCTTGGCATCCGTGTCCACCAAGACAAAAATGGGTAGCATTAAACTGTACTGAGAAGTAAATGTGGCCAGTGTAACAGCTACCATATCACCCATCGAGTACCAGTACTACTGCTACCACTACCACCACCACCGTCACAACAACAATAACACAAAACGGTCACTACTGTCTATGCAGGTCGCTGTAGCCAGAGGAGTTGGCGCCTCATGCTGTCGCAACGGACTATTTAGTTTAAGTATGTCCCTGACATAAAACTCCATCACCTAACCAGTGGTGAAACCCACAGTAATATTCCGTGATTTAAAAAAAAAGTACACTATACTCACAAATAGCGGAAATAAAAAATCGCACTCGTCATATCTTTCTCTCCGAGGGGATGATGTTTAACTAACCATGGCATCCGTGTCGACCCAAACCAAACTTGACCGTAAGCCTTCTTAGTTAACAGTTTCTGTCATTAACGAATAGTTATTGATCGAGTAAAGCTTCGGGGGAGGCTAATTTGGACTGTACTGAAATCGGATGTCTGTGGGCGTAAGGCGCAGATGTCGCAACTTAGCTGTAAACCACAACACAACGTGCCAATCGCCCCTTAAGGGGGGAAATAAAAATTAGCACGTAGCGGGAAATCGAACACCGGTCATCCGCGTGAAGGGTGGAATACTTACAACTCAACTACCGAAGACTGAAGAATGTAGTTCAGATATCGCAGCCTAGCTGTAAACCACAACACAGTGCCAACCGCCCTCTCAAGGGTGAAAGAATATTACCCGTGACATGAACATTGAGCATCACGTCGCCGCTATCGCAGGCTAGCTGTAAACCCCAAAATCGAACGGAAAAAAAGTGTACATATTGCAGCCTAGCTATAAACCACAACAAATCGGGGCAGCCACACAAGTAGGGCCCCCACCCCCCCCCCCCCCCCCCAAAAAAAAAAATTATATCCCCCTCAGCGGGGAATCACCCGAGTGAAAAGTGAAATGCTTACAACTACGCTACCAAATACACAAGCAGTTAGTAGAAATGAAAGTATATAATAATCTGAAGTTCGGTGTTACACAGTCAAAGGTGGCCAATTGATTAAAAAGAAATCCGGGCGGGCAACGAAACAAAAAATAATTTGACCGTTGCTGGAGCTACGTCGTTCGTAGTTTGTGAGCTTTTCTGACAAAAAATCACACTTTGAGTCAGAGGCAACGTTGTGCAAAAATTTGAAAGCAATCGGTTCAGTAGTTTCCGAATTTTTTAGGTTACAACATCGGAAAATTAACATTTTTATCAATATACAGTTGAAATGATATGAAATTAAAAATAAATGACAAAATGCGCACGTAGAGGGGATTGTAACTTCTAATGACCAAAACAATATAACGAGTTTAGCTAAAAATACACCGGTTAGCGGGAGGTGGGGTGGAAGGGGGGGGGGGGTGGGTGTGTCCACTGTGTGAATAGATAGGAACCATAAAATGTTAAATTCAAACCTGCCGCCCCACTAGTAGACTAAGGACAGAGAAAAGGGTTGAGAGAGCAAATGTGATAACAATGATTATAGAAATCAGATGCACTGCGTCACCAGCATAATTTTTTCAGCGAAGGATTTGTATAGCTTACAGTCTTTGTGTCTTAAACGTATGCTGCTGAACGGTGACACAAGCCAAGCCAGATTCAGATAATAACACAAAAGGAGAAACTAAGTTACTGAAATCATCGCAAAGAATGAATGAATGTAGCATCTAGATGGGGAATACGGAGATAATAAAATCAAATCATGCCCGCAGAAATCGGATATGTTAGCCAAAAAGTGTGAATATCGCAGGCATGCTGTTAACGAACACAACGCAATTACATATTCAGATGAAGACAGACGAAGAATGCAACGAGTAACCGGTCGACGCACAATGGCTGGCTTAATATTGCAAGAGTTAACGAAAAAATATCCCGTCGACGCACAATATCGGGCTTAATATTGCAAGAGTTAACGAAAAAAATTAGAAAGTTAAAAAAAAAATCTTTCCAGATGACCAATGTTTGTTACAAGAAGAAGAACAAAAACTACAATAACATGTTGATTCATTGCTCACTAACTGTACAAAATTTGACATGGAAAAAAAAAAACCCTCAAAAACTGAAGTATTGACCATAGGAAAGAAACACAGTAATTTAAACATAAAGATCAATGTCATACAATTAGAACAAGTTCAAGAATTCTAGTTCTTAGGATGCATATTTACAGAAGATGGAAGACTCGATAAAGAGATACAGGCTAGAGTTCAAAAAAGCCAATGCTGTCAACTACCAACTGGCCCCACTTCTTCGTCATCCAAAGATCTCGTTACCAGCCAAACAACGGATGATCAACAGCATTTTCATCCCTACGTTATGTTATCAGTGCCAAACGTGGACAATGAACAAATTACATATGCAAAAAATAACTACGTGTGAAATGCAATGTCTCCGAAGAGTCACCAACAATACACGAAGAGACAGAGTCACAAACGTCAGCATTAGAGACAAAGTTGGAACAAGATCATGCATGAAGCATATTGAAAGACAAAGAATGAAGTGATTTGGTCATTCAGTAAGAATGCAACCGGATCAGATTGCCTATAAGGCCTTTTACAGTAGAACATCGGGAAGAAAGGCCAGAGGAAGACCCCGAAAAAAATGGATAGATGAAGTAGCTGAATACGGCCAGAAGATCCAGAAAACCGTCACTCAAATCACGCGATAGGCAAAACACAAATATTTTAAACCACGACACTGGGCTGCAACCCGGTAAAAGTGAAGAAGACAATAGATAGATAGAACGAAAAATAACCGGTCGACGCACAATGGCGGGCCTAACATTGCAAGAGTTAACGAAAAATAACCGGTCGACGCACAATGTCGGGCTTAATATTGCAAGAGTTAACGAAAAACTACGATGTCAATCTTTCTTAACGATGACTTGCCTCCTTCGCCCTTTTTTATAGGCTATGATCCCATTTCCCGGCAAGCGTTTTATTTTAGTTTTTTTAGTTTATTTAACAACAAAATATGAGCCAAGTCGGCGATTGATGTCGTCACTTGCTAACTGAGACCTTGCCCGCTGGCGGCTTTCATATACATAAACAGTTTGAAAAATCATTTCAGTGTGTAGGATTCTATCTGCATAATGAGGATTGCATCTTTCAACATCGAACCTATCTATAAGCAATAAACGGGGGCGAGGAAATCCCACATATGACTGATACCAATCTCCCCTAACATCTTCAGCCAAGTAAACTTCTCGACTTGTTTCATTTTTAATATTTATGTTGTATTCCTCTAAACAGTTTTACCTGCTATCCTTGTTTTATTTCAGGGTGTGTGTTACAATACATTAGCATGTCCTTTAAAAAAAAAAAGTTATTCTTTTTTTTTCATTGCTAAAGAACTGATTGTTATAGTCAACATAAACGCTAATCAAAGAAACTTGGTTTGAAGACGAACCTAAAATTTACAAACTCATCGAAACAACAAGAGGCAGGGGAAGACCAAGAAGAAGATGGATTGAAGGAGTCACGGACAACTTGAGACTTCATAACATCACGGCATATGAAGCGACTGAGCGCGCCCTGGCTCGGTTGCCGATCATCTGATAGACTGCGACGCCTAGCGGCACAAGCAGATTTTGACAAAAGAAGAAGAAGAAGTTATACAACAGGCACTAGGCCATTAGACCATATTTATGGTCGGGCTATATTACGGCCCTTGGCAAGAGCCAGGGTGTATATAGTTTATTGTTTCACTTAGTTACGTCCTTTTCAGGACGTAATTTTTTGTTATTTGAAGCCCCACTCTGGCTTTTGCCAGGGGCCGCAATATAGGCAGGCCATCAATATGGCCAATTGTCTGAACGCGGTTTCTGGGACCTCTCCACGGTGATCCTCATCCGCATGGTGGCACTTTGTGTCATCGGGTGTTTATCGCTTGTGTGATGTCCTGGTGGGGTAGAAAGTCAAGTCAAGTCGAGCCAGGGTGGGGCTTGAAAATAACGAACAATTTCATCTCACGAGAAGATGACTAGGTTACATGTAGTTATCACAGTTTTCTCTAAATAGAAGTCCCATAGCGGTTAGTGCAGTGGTGGTCTCAAATATTAGATGTCCACGCGTCCATGGTTACGATGAGTATAGAGAGTTGACCAGTTGTATTGAGATATCTATTCTTATAAAATAGTTTTAGGCTAAACGACATCACTTTTGACCGGTAAGATAAACTTCACACCTGCAGTTTTCAGTGCCTAAAAAAACAATTTCTAGTACGCATTGTTCGTAAAAGAAACATATACACTTTTATAATTCCGCTTTGATTGGGGTTAGAGGTTACAACACCGGGTGTCGGTGACTTCAAAAGAGCAAGCTGATCCAGGGAGTTTGTATGAGGTAATACAATTTGTATTAGAAAATCGAGCATAAAATTAATTTGCAGACTGAACTTACCAATGTTCCTGTCAACTTTCTGAGCAGCTTTTTCTTTAAATTTGGTCATTCCAACCAGTCCAAGCAAAAGATTATCCATTTCTTCAAGAACTATAGCCGGTCTATGGGAAAACATGTATATACGGTTTATATTATTAAAAATGACACTAACAATAAAGGATGCCAGTAAAGAGTGGAAAGAAAGCGTTAGAAAAAAAAATAATGACAAGGCTACTTGTAAATAGAAAACATCGAGAAAATGACTAGAAGAACGTTGTTCACACAAACAGAGCCTTATAGATGACATGAGTGAATGTTTACACAGACAGAGCATTATAGATGACCTGGGTGAAAGTTTACACAGACAGAGGATTATAGATAACCTGGGTGAAAGTTTACACAGACAGAGCATTATAGATGACCTGGGTGAAAGTTTACACAGAAAGAGCATTATAGATGACCTGGGTGAATGTTAACACAGACAGAGCATTATAGATGACCTGGGTGAATGTTTACACAGACAGAGCATTATAGATGACCTGGGTGAAAGTTTACACAGACAGAGCATTATAGATGACCTGGGTGAAAGTTTACACAGACAGAGCATTATAGATGACCTGGGTGAATGTTTACACAGACAGAGCATTATAGATGACCTGGGTGAATGTTTACACAGACAGAGCATTAGAGATGACTTGGATAAATGTTTACACAGACAGAGCATTATAGATGACCTGAGTGAATGTTTATACAGACAGAGCATTATAGGTGACCTGGGTGAATGTTTACACAGACAGAGCATTAGAGATGACTTGGATAAATGTTTACACAGACAGAGCATTATAGATGACCTGAGTTAATGTTTACACAGACAGAGCATTATAGATGACCTGGGTGAATGTTTACACAGACAGAGCATTATAGATGACCTGGGTGAATGTTTACACAGCCAGAGAATTATAGATGACCTAAGTGAATGTTTACACAGCCAGAGCATTATAGATGACCTGAGTGAATGTTTACATAGACAGAGCGTTATAGATGACGTGGGTGAATGTTTACACAGACAGAGCATTACAGGTGACGTGTGTGCATGTTTACACAGACGGAGCATTATAGATGACCAGAGAGAATGTTTACACAGAGCATTGTAAATGACATGAGTGAATATTTACAGACATAGCGTTATAGATTTTTAACACTAATTTGAGAAAACACCTTATTTGATGTTAAGAGGGCGATAAAGTGAATTGCGATGAGTGACAGATAAACAATGGCAGCAAACTCAATATTCGTTTAAACTTCTTGATGTGCGTTATGTAGTCTAGAAGGTCTAGATGGGGAAAAAAATGTAATAGAAACAGAAAAGAGGAAAACCAGAGGATTACTGTGGAGTTGAAAAATTAGGTAAAATGGACAGCGATAAATAAATAATATCTTAAAATTTGAATAAAGGAGATTAGGAAAACAGTCAAAAAAATTATGTCATTCAGATTATTGTATTAAAGAATCTAAGTTTGGGAACATTCATAGTTCAGTTTGTATAAAGACTTCTTTCCATTCATTCCTCAACATTCCTCCCACATATTAGCCCAACAGAGCCTAGCTTACCTATGCTAGAGTCGGGACATTAATTCTTTTCCAGCCATGTATATAACCATGACGTATAGCTAGAGATGGTCATTGAGACATAAGAGGTCGTGTGATGTGACCTGGCATTCGTGAAAACGCATCCGCCGATGTTATTTCTGCAGAAAACTACACAAACCTTACAGAACAGGGACATGGCATCTATCTTGATGCAGTCCCGTAACCATATCAAACAAAACAGTGATTTATATATTTTAATGGCTGCAATGACAACCACCGGGAAGCTTCGACAGTATGGTAATGAAATGTCTTTCTGATTTCCTGTAACAGCTATTGAAATCCTGAATGAATAGTAGTTGTTATCGTAGAACTCTGCAAGAGTTAATGAGAAGCCCCGTTTTACCACTGAATAGTGTCACTATTGACTAGAACAGGTTTTTACAGGCTAATTGATATCTTATGCAGAACAGATATAACTCCTGTGACCAACAACAACTATGTTGTACTGGTCAGGTTCCCAATGTGGGCTCTGGGTTCCATTCTGGAGAACAAAGTATAAGTCCACTGCCTCCCTTACAAGCAGACTGTAGGAGGCGAATAATTAGGCATGTTCCCTTCAAAACGCACTGCATCTGCTTGAGAGGAAATGAAACAATAGCCTGCATACAAGTAGGTCAGATCTGTAAAACTGATGTGCGTGCAAATCTAATATTCTGGATCAAGACCAAAGTCCAAGAGTAGGTTAAAAACCAGGACTTTACGCTGAGTATACAACCACAGAAAGTTCAGAAGAAGAGGACTGGCCAGGTAAGTGGAGGCATGGAGTAACGTACGTAAATGGTAACAGAGCATTGTCCACGCCTTCAGGCATCTGTGAGAAGTGGAGGAATCCAGTAACGTTTTACATTTATGTCCAAGAATTGTTTCCAGCGTAACCACTAGGCGGTTTCGCAATAAATCCAATGTATATCTGTTTCAAATACAAATATACCGTGATGTTATGGGATGTAGCAGACTGTAGAGAATATGGGCTTTTGAGCTGAAATGTTATAGAAGGATTCTCAGAATATCTTGGACAAAGAAGAGGAGAAATACTGACATCTTGAAAGATCTGAACATCAAGGAAGATTGGCTAATAAACAGCATCCTGTCTCTGATCTGAAATAGTTTGGTCATATCAGCGCCACGACGGGAAACAAAATTATATCAGAAGGCATGGCACCAGAAAGGAGGGACAGTGGCCGACCGACACGAAGATGGGCACAGGCTGTAAGTGAATCCTTGAGTGTGAAAGTACATGAGACGGGAGATATGGCAGACCGTGATGAGAGCGACGTTCTGCAAATGACCTGCTGCATGATGATGATTATGGGCAGGCTGTAGCGTGAAATCCTTATTAGTGGATTAAGTAGCAGCGGCCATCATGCTGATGTAAGCTGCATTAAGTGGCAATAAGTGAAAGCGGGTGAGGCCAGACACGAGCCCTACTGCAGCATCCCAAACCAAGAATATAAAACAACACAAAACTGATGTAGTCAGCATTTGCACCCTGGGTGAGGGAATTTAGTATTAAGACGGTTAGAAAAATTATGGACTGATTGTTTCTATGTCTAGTAACGATGTTATGTCAACTAAATGACGCGTGTGAGTTATATAGATATTCGATTTTTTAGAAGCTTTGTTCGCGTACTTATTTATTTTGTTTTGTAGTATAACCCTTTATAACCATATATATTTCTTTCTTGTTCGTTGAGTTTTCCGGTCTAAATTTGTGCTGTATTTAGTACTCCGTTGATAAAAACTTTAGTCGAAACGTTGGGCTATTTTTGTGTTCGTCATTTCCCTTCCCTCCGTCGAGCGTTCCAGTAATATTTTATGCTTTTTAGCACTTCTTGTCATTAGCTCGACGGCAATCACCTCTTAGTTACGTCACCACTGTAGATAATTGAAGCCACGTTCATAAGCTCAGAGCAATCCCGTGGTACTATCTTCTAGCCAGTGATAAGGTATTTAATGCCAGCCATCAGCCTATACGGCCAGTTAAAAGTTAGTTGCGTATCCTTTACAGGACGTTGCAAAACCAACCACAGAATATTTTGGCTGTTGTGGTTTTTCTAGCAAATGTTACGCTCAGTAGTTTGCCATTGCTTTTCAGGCGGTAAACTCTCGGTACCACTGTCGACACCAACGCAAGACCAATAGTCAGCAACTGGGATCGAACTCGGCGTTCGTAACGCCTAAGCCACAGAGGCCAACCATACGTCCAGACTAAATCAAAATATACGCTTTTCATGCTCTCATTTTTAAAGTTTGGCTTAGACGCCTAAAGGGGAGCCACCGCGTTGTAGCGACTAGACACCCCATGGTGATCCGAAGTCGTAGGTTCAAATTCTGGAAGACGTGTGCATTTTTCCTAATGCCATTTGCTACCTGGTCAACCAAGCCTTAAATAAGTTCAGATAAAGTTGTGGAAAGCGAAGGCAATTGGAGTGGTGCTGACCACATCGCTCATATAGTGTCGATTTGTCTACAAAATAAAAGTCTAGCCCAAACAAGGTGTAAAAGAGTCCTTTAGACATATACAAAACAGAGACTTTAAATAAAATTTATCACCGATAAAGAAGATAGCCTGAAGGTAAATCATGACAAGATAAGTTGCTATCATGTTGCATGATCAATGATGTAGTGAAAGCCAACCTCCGCGGAAGCGCACTTTAACGCAAAGTCATAGACACGACGGGTTAAAATTACCATAAGCCACAGCAGGTCAAACAAAGATCACATTCACTACTGTATAGAGCGAAGATAACTTGGATCGGCGACAATACAAACTTTCCCAGATCTTCACAGGGGGGTGGGGGATGTGGCAAAGACTTTGCTAAAAATGTGTAAGGGGACTTAACAGTATCCCTTAACCAAATATACATATTTCTCTTTTTGAACTATTTATTTACACAATTCTGATTACTTTAATATAATATTATTTTTATTTGCTTAAAACACATTATTGTATGCAAAAACATTTTTATTGTATTATGCACTTAAACATGGCTTGGTCTCTTTGACGAGATTCCAGAAAATTTGTAAGAGAGCTGTCTATTTTTCTATCTACGTTCCTGGACATTCGCAACATTCAACTATAGTCGTCGTTTGTTTACTTGGACTGTCTCACATACATTACACGGTACCCAACGACCCTCAGTATGATTCGTCTATTCTTCCGGACTTGTTCTGGGCTTACAAATCACCTCCGGACTTACATAACTTAACTATAGATGAAAGAAAGAGTGGCCCTCATCACTTGTGATGGACCAGCAAAAACAACAACAGCCACAAGATTCAACCTCCCTTTTTATCCTGTCTAAATGTTTTAGGATTATATTTCTGTTAATTTCGATCCATCTATTGTATTCATGGTGACAGAATTTTAATTTATGTGTGTGTTTTTTTTTTTCGATCTATCTGTTGCAGGCATAGTTACAGGATTATAATTTCTGTTTATTTCGATCTGTCTATTGTATTCACAGTGACATGATATAATTGCTTTATATCGATCTATCTGTTGTATGCATAGTGACAGGATTATTATTTATGTTTGTTTCGATCTATCTGTTGTAAGCATAGTGACAGGATTATTACTAATGATTATTTCGATCTATCTGTTGTAAGCATAGTGACAGGATTATTACTAATGATTATTTCGATCTATTTGTTGTAAGCATAGTGGCAGGATTGTAATTGCTTTTATTTCGATCTATCTGTTGAATGCATAGTGACATCATTATAATTGCTTTCATTTCGATCTATCTGTTGTATTCATAGTGACAGGATTTTAATTTATGTTTATTTCGATTTGTCTATTGCATTCATAGTGACAGGATTATTATTTATGTTTATTTCAGATCTATCTGTTGTATGTATAGAGACAGTATTATACTTTCTGTGTTTTTTTTCCGAGGCACAGTGACAGGGTTATACTTTCTGTTTACTTCGAGCTATAAAGATAAATTATGCTTTCTGAAGCACAGCTTACTTGTTTTCCTTGAAACATAGCTGCACACTATTGATTTAAAAATTGCTAAAATTGTAGGAATAAATGTCCCTATAAGGATAATATACTTACTTAGTGATGTCAGAAATTTTGGAACGGAGGAGAGTACGATTAATTCCAGGAGAGACGATTTAACACAAATTGTCGTCACAACATGACAACATGAGAAAAGACAGCTGTAAACTGAGCATGATTGCTAGTTTGATATGGCTGTGGTAAAAAGAAAATGAAAGCGGAAGTAGAAAACGCTGTACAGAAGCTGTAGTATTGTATGCACGGGCAAACTGTGAAACACATTATGGCAACAGACAAGTTGTGTCTGAGAACAATATATCTGAGAAATAATATCGTAGACTGGCAGGAACAAAAAAAAATTAAGGCACTTTTAGAACCGTGAACATTTTCATTTACTGTGTTTACTTACTTAGTTTACTTGGACGGCCAGAGTAACTAACAACGATTGCTTCACAGAAGCTAATGAATGTAGATCTGTATACACAACAATAAGAAAGAGACAAATACTGTTCTTTGGCCACTTAATGAGAAAAGAGGCATTGGGAAACATCGTGACAACTCGAAATATCATGGGGAAAAAATGGGGTAGAAGCAGACCGAGAGAGTTGATGATAGATACGCTGAAACGATTTCGCATGAAGGGGTACACCAAGAAAGCTTTTCCAGGCAACCAAGGATCGTGATCTGTGGAGACGTATAAGTGGCTATGCCAGTTGACAGGGCACATGATGATGATGACGATGATAACTCAGTAACAAACAGTGAATTATCTGCTGAACATTTGTCTCAGTGGGATGAGTTTGTCCCCCAAAAAACGTAAGTAATAATGGCGATGATAACTCGATAACAAGCAGTGAATTATCTGCCGAACGACGGTTTCATTGGGATGAGTTTATCCCCAAAAAACGTAAGCAATAAAGGTAATGATAACTCAGTAACGATCAGTAAATTAGCTGCTGAACAATTGTCTCAGTGGGATGAATTTGCCACCAATAAGGTAAGTAATAATGGTAATGATAACTCAGTAAGAAACAGCGAATTACCTGCTGAACAACTCTCTCAATGGGATGAGTTTGTCCCCAATAACGTAAGTAATAATGGTAATGATAACTCAGTAAGAAACAGCGAATTACCTGCTGAACAACTCTCTCAATGGGATGAGTGTGTTCCCCAACAACGTAAGTAATAATGGTAATGATAACTCAGTAAGAAACAGCGAATTACCTGCTGAACAACTGTCTCATCGGGATGAGTTTGTCCCCAATAATGTAAGCTGAGGGTACGCTTGAATGTCCAAACCTGTAGGCAGCGGATGAGAAGACATTGGCTATTCTTGGATCGGTATCACGATTATACACAGTCCGGCCCTCCATAGACACCAGTTTCAAGCGGTCCGCGTCTTTACCAAGTATTATAGGGAGATAGTGGTTGTACGTGATGGTTTGCTGTAGAGCTGAAATACAAGGTCTACTAGATTAGAGCCTGAATTACAGTGAAAGGACGAGTTCAATGGGTATCGTGGGCCGGAGATGTGGGGTTCATGCTTCGTATAATGATCCCGACAGGCAGCTGTTAACCTTTTTTTCCTTAAAAACTACAAAATATGTTCATAGGTACACACAATCATTAAGACGTACACACTCGCTCAAGTGTAAACACACATTAACAAGTAAAAATACACATGCATGCAGACATAGCACACACATAAACAAATACATGCACAGAGAGGGAGGGAGAGAGATAGAGAGAGAGAGAGAGAGAGAGAGAGAGAGAAGAGAGAGAGAGAGAGAGAGAGAGAGAGAGAGAGAGAGAGAGAGAGAGAAGTGAGAGATAAATAGTTAAAGATAGACACAAAATGTAACGTTTACTGATTAAAGTATGTGTCATTACAACACCTCTAAGTTTTTTTTTTTTTTTTGTGTTCTACGTTTTTGTTGTGTGGTATCATTTGTAATCACACTGTTACCGGGTTATAATCCAGTTCTAAATTGTCTATATTTGTCGTGTGCTAGGTAAGTGGCTGGATTTATAATTGAGTGTATTTTTTTTTTCGTAAGATTCAGTTATGATCAATCCATACTAGATGTCCTGTTCCAGAAAGGTGTTTATACAGTTCGGCCTGAAAGCATTCTTTTTGGATGGCCAAACTCTTCATTCTCGGACTTTCAATTTAGTTCATGCACTGACTTGTTAAAACTGTACCTCTAAGGTTGGAATTTGTGACCTTTGTGTGTTGATGACCTTTCGCTGACAGCTGCTCAGTCCCCGGGTATTGTTTTCTGTTCCTGTGACTGATTCATTGCTCATGGCTACCAGTTATAGTACAAAGCAGATATGACGATGCTTTTAATCACTTCCTACTTTGAGGATTTTGAGGTTTTTAACAACGGATCAACATCATGGCACACGGGTGTAACCCATAAGTACTCAGTTCCTCTTCTAACTCAAGTCTGAGTCCGAAGAAGCTCAGCATAGTGCACAGGCTCTGTAGAACCAACAAGGATACTGAAATACTTTGTGCGTGTTTTGAACTCAAAATTTTGCCCGGGCAGCGCCGTTACGCTACTCTTTTCAATTTTTAACTGCCAAGGGATTGTTTTTGTGCGCAACACGGGCGTCCGATCTCACTACCATGAGACCAGGGGGAATTACTAGAAGTCCAAGTCCACGTGAAAAAATCCCAGCCCTTACCGGGGATTGAACCCGGAACTCTAGCGCTCAGGTGGACACCATGCGTCGATAACTCGCAGCCCCTTGCTACTTTGCTGGAAAGAGGCATTAGTGAAAAAACACTGTCTTAAACAATACATTGTGTTTGAGCAGTGTGGCTAGCTGATAAGGAGCAGCGTCTTCATTTCTATCTAATATTATAAAAATATTAAGGACAGTTTTCCATGCCTTCAGGCGGATTGGGCATATAGGGCCACACCTATATTTTATAGACTAATGAGCACTTGGGGTGATGTACTCAGCATTAAGCCAGCCGCATTTACTTCCCCGGACTTGACTAGGTACCTACACTAGGCTGGGTCTACCTGGGATCCAAGGTCATTTTTTAAATTAAGTCCAGCTCCTCCAGGACCCGAATCCAGACTTTCCCATCCGCAGGCGAGCGTCTGGCCGCTACGCCACAACGTCTCTCATTGTTAATATCGAGATTTATTAATTAGAGAACACACGTCTACACCGTCTCAGAATCAATATGGTGTCGTTTCCAAAAAAAAAAAAATCGGTTGACTGCAATGATAACACCAACACTCTCTCTCATCAACATCATCAACATCATCATCTCTCTCTCTCAATCTGTGTGTGTGTGTTGTGTGTGCGTGTGTGTGCGTGTGTGCGTGTGTGTGAGAATCTAACTAGACATCCCATTTGTGTCACTGTTTACATAGTTATATATACTGTGTATACCCTCACATAGTGTATCACTCTCTCTTCTTTTATTATTTTTTTTTTGCACATTAATACAAACATTTAACACACACATCTTGAATACTAACCGCCAGTCATTTTCCTGGTCATTTGAAATATTTCTTCCTTATCGGTATTGGGCTTCAAAGTGTACAACTCGCTAGCAATTCTATTGTGCTCCCTCAACCAGATGACGTGTAGTGCGGTCAAAGCAGGGTTCTCGTGAGTGCGCAGGTCACCTGTATGCAAGAATAATGTTCGGTCAATTAACTCTTGAAATGCTTCATGTAAAAAAATATAGCTGAAGTTGAATTTTCACCATAAATTTACTTAACTATTCCTTATGTGCTTAGTCATTAGACATCATCAGTATAATATTAATCCTTGTCGTCTTCTTCATATTCTTCTTTTTTTTTCTACTTCTGCATCCCCTCCCCCTCCCCCGCCCCACAGTCCCCTATTTCTTCTTCTTTTTCTTTTTCTTCTTCGTCTCCTTCTTCTTTTTCTTCTTCTTCTTCTTTCTTTCTTTTTCTTCTTCTTCTTCTTCTTTCTCTTCTTCTTCTTGTTCTTTTTCTTCTTCTTCTTTCTCTTCTTCTTCTTGTTCTTTTTCTTCTTTTTCTTTTTCTTCTTCTTCTTCTTCTTCTTCTTCTTCTTCTTCTTCTTCTTCTTCTTCTTCTTCTTCTTCTTCTTCTTCTTCTTCTTTTCTTCTTCTTCTTCTTCTTCTTCTTCTTCTTCTTCTTCTTCTTCTTCTTCTTCTTCTTCTTGTTCTACTTCTTCTTCGTTTTCTTCTTCTTTTTCTTCTTCTTCTTCTTCTTCTTCTTTTCTTCTTCTTCTTCTTCTTCTTCTTCTTCTTCTTCTTCTTCTTCTTCTTCTTCTTCTTCTTCTTCTTCTTCTTCTTCTTCTTCTTCTTCTTCTTCGTTTGTTTCCACAAGTATTAGTATAATTTTGTATGGTCTCTTCTGTCCACTGATCCTTTTTTCAGTTCTTTCTCTGAGCTGTCTTTCCCCCCCCCCCCCCCCCTTTTTTTTTCAGTGTTACCCTGCTGCACTTAACATGAAGCCCTCTCGGGTGGTTATAGCCAGCATAAGTCTCTCGTGAGTTGCGGATTTTTCTTTGAGTGAGGAATAGGCTATCAAAATAATCACCACACATCATTGCAAAATGAACTCATTTTCAAACAACTTCCACACGATTGTCAGTACCCTATATTATATTATTTTAGCAGTACATTAATTATTAGTCATTAAATGATTACAGAAACTCGTTGCATTAAGAACACGGCCACATCAGCGCAATAGTAAATTATATAATCAAAAGGGCATTGGAAATGTAGGCCCACATGCAAAACTTTGTGTTAACTCGTACAGGAGTTTTCGAAATATCTGTTAAAGTGTGACGGATGAGTTTGTTTTTAATTGAACATTGGTTTCAGCGAATAGGATGGCAGTGTAGACAACAACTGCAATTCTGAATTGGACAGCAGAAAATGGAGTTACGAGAGGATTTATACTGTCGGATTCTGAATCGGTACGGTGAAGGTGTAGAATAGACAAATGTGGCATGAGCGGATATCAAGCACCAGCACGTTAACATTACAGGGGACTTTTGAGGATATACTGTCCGGGATATGCAGGAGTGCGAGGGAATGAAAGAGCGGATTTAGGGCTACAAATGCGTTTACTTCAGGACCACATGTCCTGGACCAGTGAGACATTCTGAAGACTATTTATGAACTAGTGCTGATAGACAATCTGGTTATCTGGTAATCTTAGTTTCAGCTTCATAGCAAACGGGTCACCCCATAGTTGCTCCGCTCCTATGCCAACGAAAAACACACAGAATGCTTATCACAGTCCCTGGTGGAAAGACTGACAGACTGCTGTCTCAACATATTCTCTAACATACACACTTATTGAAAGCATACGGTAGCCATACGAAGTGCTAACACAAACAATCCTACATTAGAAATTTAGTTCATGATGGATGGTAGCAAATGTCACCAACAGATCAGCAGTTGCACAGGCGATAAATTTAATCACATAATGGCACCACCAATATGGCGACAACAAGCATCGCGATATTTTCTGAATCTACAATTCACACCACCACGTTGGTCACAGTCAGAAAACATTCCAAATGAAATCCACAGCTCACAGTGTCACGCCATACACTTAACTTAGAAGCTAAGCGACGAAACTATATACTTTTAGTCTACAAATGGAGCAAAAATGCAACGACCACCGTCTGGCAGAAGATAAAATTGGCCACGGCTCAAAACTGTGGCCGTGCCTAGAGTCCATTTTAACCGGATAGACGATAAAAGGTTAGATGAAATAGCATGTGTAAGAATGGGTGTACGTGGAATTAAGAGTGGATCCGACAAGAAGGGGCGTACTGGAGAAATAAAATGACGTGTGAGTAACGTTTGTGTTACTGGAACAGCGAATTGACACATTTGCTGCCAAAAACTTGGAAAACTACGGGTATACCCGGTGTGCTATAATATCGTTCTAAAGTCAGTAAATTAATCAACATTGATGCTTGGAAAGCTAACATAGACCATAAATGCATGTAGAAGTCTGATGTGTCGGCCGAATTGTGCAAATATCTTAGCCATATTGTAAACGAAAACAACGCATTTGCGTCTTTGGATAAATGCAAAGTAAGAAGAAGGTTCCAGATACATTACATCAAAGATATTGCCTGTTCAACATCCTACATGAAGTTACAATATTGTAATTAACGCAGTAGAAAGATTAGTCCTGTTTTCTGACTATAAATGTGTGCATGTTTGTGTGTGTGTTTAATTGAAAGACCTCATCTAAACAGAACAGCTTTTCAGGGAATAAGGTTGATATGCTCTCCGGGACATGCAGGAGTTCGTAAGAATGAAAGAGTGGATTTTCTGGCTACAAAAGCGAAAGTTACGGGAACACTCGTACTGGACAAGGGAGATATTCGGAAGACCATATATGAACTAGTACTGACAGAAGACACACGATTAGATGAAATAAAATAGGCAAGAATGTGTGAACGAGGAATTAAGTGTGGATCCGGCAAGGAGGGACGGATGAGAGGAAGAGAACGACGTGAGTATAATCAGTGTGCTACAGGAACAGTTAGCATTTACACCTTAAGACATTTATTTGCTGCGGGAGATGGAGCATCTATGGGTATGCCCGGTGTGCTATGATGTCGGTTTTTAAATCCGTAATCCTTAATCCTCATCTCAGCATCCAAGTCTGACATTGTGCATCACACATAGCTGAGTACTATTAACAGTTTAGCTGTAGAAAGGATGTGTTGTATAGTTACTCACCTGTCATAAAACAGTAGTCCTTTGAACCAGGCCTCTTGATGCATCCAGCATCGGGTGATTCTGGAGGGAAGTCGCCTTTCGTTCGCATTAGGTAGTCTATTTTTGTTGACAGGAATATTGAATGTTATTTTTCATTAGGAAATTAATACACTGTTAATGAAAGGAAAAGAGGGGGGGGGGGCAGGTATCGCTATCACTAACATAATGATTGTTGATTTTATTTTACCGAAGGCATCTTATTAAGTTACTGTATACCTATATATGTTCTTAATTCTAATACTGCAAGAACATTGACTCATTCTATATACCTTCATCGGAAGGCCTCACATTTAAACAACGGTCGGTGTTCGAAACAGGGCGGTTTTCGGGGTTTACCCAGCCTCTAGGAAATGGGTACCAGAGTGACACTCTGGAGTAAATGGAGGAACGTCGCTGTAGCTTCAAAGTTACGTGCGGACTGCGACACAGGCGGACAGTTTCTAATCAGCTGTCTGTACTGGTGGCAGAGCACCTATGTTTTAAAACCGTGTGCAATGACGCTGGTTCACAATATTGATTTTCATCTCCTTGGGTCTCATCAAACTCGTTTTATTTACATCTGTTATTGATTGCAATCGGTTGGATCCCTAATGTAATAATTATGCGTATACTTTTTCGTTCGTTCTGAAAACAATTTAGTTACGTTATCATTCTATAAAGTCACTTGCGTTAATTTCTTAAACAAATGCAGAGAGCAGATTTAGGTCTGTAAACAATCGTTTCAGATCTCTCCACCCTAAGGTTAGTTCCGTATCCTTTACAAGACGTTGCAGAACCAACCCCAACAGCCCCTGGCTGCTGTATGGTTTTTCTAGGCAAAGTTACGTCCAGTAGTTTACCATTGCTTCCTGGACGGTCGGCTTTCTTGATACCACTGTCGAAACCAACACAAGGTACATGGCCCGCAGCTGGGATCGAACCCGGCATCCCTGGCATTACTCTCCACCCGACCCCATCTTAAAAGTAAAAAAAAAGTAAAGTAAGGATCCCTTATCAAGACTTTAGGCGTATCGGGTATATGGGAAGAGCACCAATATTTTTACTGACCATCGGCACTAGGTGGGTAATGTGGTCAGCATTACGGCGGCCGTCTTTACTTACCCAGGACCTACTCATGCATAGTGACCCAATAAATGTTTTCTACTTAGAACAGTTTGTATGTGTGTACAAAATGTTGGTTAACACGCGATACGAACTATGTTTGACTGGTTGAAAAATTCCATGACAAATTCAAGAGAGGGATTATCAAATCCTATCATCCATTCAGTCCTCCTCCTAAGATGTACGGAGGAATTGGTTTAGTCATTTAAATGCGAATTAAGGTCTACAGTCATATGTTATATTTACTTAAACTCTCACTGTCAGTTCCTCAGTAACAAATATTGATAATATTATTACCAGTACTCAAATATAAAGTCAAAAAGGTAGATGATTAAATAATGCATTGCTAAAAGAAAAATATACATTATAATCTATTATGATGTTAAATCCATGTCTCTTTCAAGACGGTGATAACGAAACCAAGCGTTTATTGGTTCTGTGTGGTTTCACTTTGCAATTTCATGTTCCTCTGTTTACGTTTTACAGAATAAAATTTTATTACCGTCTTTTTCTCTTAGAAGTGCAGCCCTTTCTGTTGTGGAACCGTAAATTTGAGAACCGTCAATAAACGCATTGAGAGAGTTCACTTGTTCTCTTGGCTCTGTGGACAATCACATACTGCCAATAAAGTTCCAATGAAAAATATTTGACAGCGAGAAATGGTGAATAAATTACTGGAAGGGAAAAATACAAAAAATTAAGTTTGTCTGGATCTAATTTCCCATGACAATATGAGTTTAGGAGCCACTTTCAGATGGCCCGACGCAAAGAAAACATTGGAGGGAACATGGTGTAACTCAGCCCTAGCCATAACCCCCCCCCCCCCCCCCCAACCACCCACCCAATCTTACCCGTTCAGCCGTTAGGCCATATTTATGGCCCGGCTTCTTCCTCTTTTCGTTCTTCTTCGTCGGGTGGAAGCCATTGGTCAGCTTTGAAAACAATTCCTCCTCAAAGTCGACTTGAACCCTAGACATTCGGGCTGGCAGCCGAGAATCTAGGCGGTACGCTACAGCGGCTCCTGTTAATGTTTCTCTCTTCCACTAATGGCCCAGGTACCACATGCGAGGTGAACGGCGTAACTGGTCAGAGGCGCCACAGCCGGTGGCCCAGACCCATTGTGTGTGTGTGTGTGTTGTGGGGGGGGGGGGAGGTGCGCCTGTGTATGTGTGTGCAAGGGTATGTGCATTAGTGTGTTTATGTTTTGACTAATTTTCCCATTTTTAGCTGCTTCCGTCTGAATGCACTTGGATAAAAATCGTTTTACATAAAGCCACTTTTGTAAACTTTTTTGCGGTAATGTAATACAATGAATCTGCCAGATTGCAAACATACGTAACTGAAATAATAATGGATAGAAGACTAACTTAGTCAGGTTTTAGAAATAATCTATCACGGAGCCAAGCTGTGGATACGAATAAAGCGAGATCCTAGTAGGAATCAGAGCAACTACACTATGGAAAACTTTATGCAAAGTAATTAAACCTGTAAAAGTCTTAAGATTTCGCACAGGAACACTAATCATAGAAATAGATCTTGCTAAATAATCTCAACGAAGGAAAACAGAAGGAAAATAGTCACGACATAAATGAAATGTTTAAGAACTATGTAGGTGTCACAATGAAAGATCTACTTAGGAGCGATGATATAAGGAAGAAAGTCGACACAGAACCGATGCTGGAATTTATCGGTAGACAACAGGTCAAGTGATTTGATTATGTAACAAGATTGTCATCAGACAGGGAACCACAGTGAGCAATGTTGAACAGATATAGTTGTAAAATGTTTAGAGATCGACCTCGCAGAGTATGGACCGCAGAAATATCAGAAACCTTAAAAGTACTATATACGGAGCAAACAGAAGTACCTTTTCCAGAGATCTTTTCTTGCCCTGACGCTGAGAGGCATCCCAGGAGTAGAGAAAAGAAGAATCAGCGTACGCGATAAATTTGAAAGTAACTGTGAACTGGTGAAAACACAGCTAATGCAGAAAATACGAAATTATTGTGACTTAGACCAGAACCTGTCAATTATAAATTCCAGCAGCAGCAGTAGTAGTAGTAGTGATAGCAGTGTATGGTGATGGTAGTAGAAGTAGCAGCAACAGCAGCAGCAGCAGCAGTTGAGGAAAACTGAGGGAGAGATGGAGAAGAAAAAACGATACATTCTGAAAGAACATGACTACTTACGCAGTGGTTGTCCAGTTGCATTTGTTGCTGCTAGTGATCTGACAAACTCCATACACCTGCCTTCAAATTGTTTTTCAGTTTCCGGTAGCTCAATAGGAAAACAATCTCTGAATACCCAAAGACAGATTCAGCTAAATATATTCAGTTCGGGGAAAATAGTCAATATGAAAGTACATTCTCTTGACGAAAATCGTTAGTATAAAGACAGAATTGCTAATTTTAAAATTGCCTGTACAAAGGTAAATTTGCTAACATTGAAAATCGCCTTTACAAAGACATATTTTCTAACATTAAAAGTCATCGGTACACAGATAAATTAGCTAACACTGAAAATCGTCTCTACAAAGACATATTTGATAACACTAAAAATCGTCGGTAAACAGATAGATTAGCCAACACTAAAAATCGTCTGTACAAAGAGTGTTTCATGCAAACAAGGTCGGATGTAGGCATGTGCAACACGTGCAATTGTACATTGTGGCGTAGCTTTGCAGGCTGCAAAATATTGAGAGGCAATATATATATATATATATATATATATATATATATATATATATATATATATATATAATATATATATATATATATATATATCTTTATATATTCGGAAGGTCGTGCGTTCGCTCCCTAGCAGAGCCAGACTTTTTTCAAAAATGACCTTGGCTCCTCGGTCGACCCAACCTTCAATGGGTAACAGGTAAAGTCCTGGAAAGTAAAGGCGGCGGTAGTGATGCTGACCACATCTTGTGCTGTTGGTCTATAAAATATAGGTCTATATAGGTATATATACCCAATGCGCCTGAAAGGCGTGCAAAAGGGTCCTATAATATATTTCTAAATATATATAAAAATCAATGTTTGTGTGTTTGTTTCACCCCTATAGACTCGGAAACTACTGAACCGATTTAGCTGAAATTTTCAGGATATGTTTGTTGTGATACCGGATTTTAAACTGTCGTGGTTTGAAATTCAACCTGTCACTGTTAGAGATAGGTGACCACAATTTATGCAATAATATACGCAACTAATATTTATAACATTAGTGATTTCTAATTATAGCCACGTTAGTAATTGCCCATGCGCCGCCGTAGTCAGAACGCAAGGCTTCCGCCATTCGCCGGCGAGTTACATGCAGCCAACGCCTTCTCTAATACATAGAGTAGGTCTAGGTACAGCAAACAAGACTATCTCTATATTTGCCACAAAAACCATATTAAACACGATTTCTATTTTCTGTTTTTTTTTTTCAAACAACCTTCGATTGGGGTGGGGGGTGGGGGGGGGGGGGAATCAAGGACTATCTCGACGTCGGTGCAGACATTGACTGCGACATTAACTTCATTAACCGTGTTAGACACGTGCGATTTCTATTGTTGTGCCGTTTCATTAATATATCTGGAGTATCTGTCTACAAGAAAACAATTGCCTGTGGTTTTGAATTGTGTTTTAATCAGGACACAGAAGTAGGGACACACATCTGTAATTGTTAAGTTCTCTTTTCCTTTATCCGATTAAGTGGCTGCTTGGTCGAATGGTTAGAACACTGGGTTCCTGTGCGGGAGACCTGGGTTCGGATCCGCAGTAGTTAATTTTTTTTTTTACCCCGGACTAAAATAATATCCTCATCTGCTCTGTCGTGGTGACAGCACTAGCCATGTTGCCTTAAAAAAAAAAAAAGACAAGTGAATGGGTAAACCATTTGATAATTAAATTTGACCATTTCGCATACTTATGATTGCATTATTAAACTTTCCGATTGCATGGTTAAGCTAAAATTTTTATAGATTTTCATTTATTTTCATTTAGATTTAGTTATTTCATCTGCGTTGGAATTTTAAGCTGTGCTGTTTACCATGGCGTTCATTTCCTAATTATGGTGTGTGTTTTTTTTGCTGTGTTCATTTGCTTTTCAAGTGTTTTTTTTTTCTCCCAACTACTTCAATGAGGGAAAGAGTTGTCGGTGAATTTGGGTGGGGGGGGGGGGCAAACTATTTACTGAGAGAGCTTTAAGTCACAGTAACTGCTTTACCCACTTAAAGTAGCAGCAGCAGTAATAGTTGTGGTTGGGCTGTTACACCAAAGTGCTCTCATGTGAAGACCGCCGGTAAGGTTATGGCGTTCTTCTGTCGGCAAGTGAAATTATTCATCCTAACCTGACCAGTCTGTGGCGACAGCACTAGCCATGCGGAACCAAATCTTCTGGCTCACGACTCTCTGTCTACTTTGATGGTAACACAGATAGCAGTGACATTATTTTAGTAGTTGTACTGGTACTTGAAGGATGATGTGGTAAATATTACACTAGCCCCATTTACTACCTATTACAATTCCTGCTCCCCATTTTAGTCCAGATGGACAGGGATGTCAATGTCAGTTGGGGGTGGGGGGGGGGGTAGGTGGGGTGGGGATCAAAGACTATCTCTATATCTGAGCAGACAATGATTGTATTAGACACGTGCGATTTCTATTTTCTTTCATTTCCATTTAGCCAAACTATGCCACAGCAACGCGTGGCCGGGTACAGCTAGGTCTATATAGGTATATATACCCAATGCGCCTGAAAGGCGTGCAAAAGGGTCCTATAATATATATATATATATATATATATATATATATATATATATATATATATATATATATACACACACACACACAAAACTAATCAGAAATATATGTTTATCTTTATTGTCTTTGTCATCATGACACAGTAAAATAGTGTTGTTCTATTAGTGCACATCTTAATCTTGTAAATAGCAGCACTCGGCTGACTGAAATAGAAAATGAGGATGAGAACTGGATGCAGTAAACATTCATTCTGGTTTATATTGGTGTTTAATCGAGATGGAAATTCTACCTCTCTCCCGAGACTGCATGCTGAAACTAGAAAAAGCAGAGGACGCAAGAAAAACAGCATTTTCACATTATTGCTCAGCAAGCATAAACATGAAGTTATACTTTCCAGAAATGTGCTAACAAGAGTTTTTCTGTGTGATTTGGAAACAATCTTTGTCTTAAAGACGAAGGATGTATTTGCCGTTGCGAAAACATGATGTCTTCCAAATTAGCTGCAGAGAATGAATCTTTTTACTTCTGAAGTGTTCATACAATGTTGAGATCAATGTAAGTATAATACGTTAAGATCATGCAAACTCTTCGGGTTGATTCGCAGAATAGAGGTTATGTCTGAACAAAATATATGGTGATTTAAGATTTTCATTTCACTCAAATATCACAGAATAGACGCTGCTCAGATGTGTGATGTTGCAGTGAAAGTTCGATCCATTTAAGATTTCGAAAAGAAAACACTTTTGGTTGAAAAATGCACCTTTTTAAAACCTATTTGATATTTATGAACAAAGAAGTGGTTCGATGCAGAATACTGTTGGAAAACTTTTGGAAAAAATTGTCGCACAAAGATTGACCACCTACTTGGAACTACATGATAAGTTCCCACCAACACTTGGAGGGTACAGGTTAAATAAAGAGACATGGTTCAATGCTGCAGTTTTCGCCTACGATGTGTACGAGGGATTTCAGATTAAAGAAGAGACATGTGCGGCAGTGTTGGACTTAGAAGATGCCTACAATAAAGTATCATATGATTATTTAATGCAATTACTGCTTAAACTAGAAGTTAATCCTATTCTGATCCGCTGGATTGATGCGGTCCTGTTCCAGAGAAAGATTGTACTAAGATGTGGTAGCTGGTCCTCAGAACCGCAAATGATATGTCCAGGTTTGCCACAGGGATCACTGCTATCACAAGTCTTATTCAACGTTTATACGTGATGATCACTGAGCAGCAGTTGAATGGAAAGGGAAGGACTTTGTCATTTGCTGATGACATTTTGATTTATCGACGAGGGCGTGATAGACAGGAGATCGCCAGCACTATGCACAAAGAACTCGATCGAATTGCCGCCTGGTGTGATGGTTCCAATGCTTATGTCAATCCTTCGAAGGCATCAGTGTCATGGTTCTCTTTGAACAATCACATTGTCAAGTCGGACTTACCAGAAGTGAAAATGCGTGATAATGTATTGATCAGAACCAACGTTATGACGTTTCTCGGGGTGAGGTTCGATCGCAGCTTGTCATTCAGGGAACATGTTGACCATGTGATAACAAAAGCACGCAAAGGTCCCTCTGCAATGAGGATTATGACTGCTTCCAATATTGAGCAAAGACTACTAATACTTCTATTCTACGGTCTGGTCCTTTCCCCCATTGAATACGCTCTGGCCATCCTCACTGTCAGTGCTACCCAGATTGAACGACTCGAAAAGGTGCAAAATGAAGCCATGCGCATTATTTTGGAATGTACAAGAAACACATCCTGTGGAGCAATGAGGTATCTACTTGACTTTCCAACAATGAACCAAAGGATCAGGATGTGGAGGGCTCGGGCATATCTCAAAATATGTGGTGATAAGAAACACCCACTGCATCAAGCGCTTTTTAGTAAAAAGGGCGACAGACTGAAGAGGGGGAAATCGTGGCTAGGTGGGGCAGAAGATGTTATTAGGCAAATATGCAGCCTAACCGACATCATACCTGGTGCAGAATGGATACCTGTGCCTCAGGCGTTTATTTGTACATTTTCCTGTATTGTCACACTCAACAGGCGATGTAGTGAAGAGAATCCTGTTGCTGTTAATGCAGAGGTCAACGCTCTCATCGGTGAAAATTCAGACGAAGCAGATGCAATAATCTATACAGACGGATCCGTTATACGCCAAAGAAGAAGCGCATGGGCATTTACAGCACGCTCAGCGGGCAGAACAGTCAAAGAAGCCAACGCCGCCTTCTCCATGACAACCAGCAGCATGACGATGGAGGTGATGGCAGTGACGCAAGCGCTTGCCTGGCTTGAAACACAAAAATACACCCGCGTGTGTATACTTAGTGATTCAATGAGTATGATCCAGAGGGTTCAGGCAGGTTCAGTGCGAAAACAATGGCTTGAATCATTACAAAAGTCCACTGTGCGTAGAGTCACCTTTATTTTTGTTCCGGGATACGCAGGCGTCGATTGAAATGAAAGAGCTGACAGGTTGGCTGGATCCGCTATTACTGCCGACGGTCAGCCTATGGATCATGCTGATATTATCAATGCCCTCAGAGAAATGGGAAGGATAGAGGACTTTGGTGGCAGTGAATCCACATCACTCGCCAGAATGGCATACTTGGGAATTAAGATCGGCACAGCAAAAAACGAGACGCACACCAGACACGCCAGAAGACTTGTTAATCAACATAGAACTGGTACTATTAGCCATCGGACGTTGGGGTTCATACTCAGGGGAGGATCTGAGCACCTATGGACATGTACGGAGTGCAATGAGGATAACCCAACTAACTAACTAACTAAAGATGTGGTCGCGGGTTATTATCTCATTTTTTTTTTTTTTTTAGATGGTGACTAAAACAAATAGTGATCCTGATATCAAAATGTAAACTGCAATCAAGAAAGGAGCCCAGCTGTACTCCAGACACAATGTTTTGCTAAAATGTAGATTTCCGTTTTAAAACAGATTAAGAACCATCTTCGGACAGCACATAATCAAGAACCAATAATCTTGCAGTGTTTATCACAGAATCAGAAATCACAGACAGTCTTGATTTTGAGGAATTGATAATTGCATTCGCAAATAAAAAACAAATGACAAGAAAGTCATTTCTCTAAGGTCCGTATGCTTCCAAAAATGTTAATTAAAATGCAGTGTTTCTACCATAATAGTGAATAAAATGTAGAACTTCCGGTCAAAATAGACTATAAACACGGTCACTGTTCTTAGAGATGGCAATTTTTAAAAAAAATTGCTTCTGACAGTTGAAAACAAGAAGAGACCCACTGCCTTCCTAAACAAGCATGCCGTAAGAATACTGAGGGCTTCCTTCAAAGTCGGAGTTCATCTGCAGGCGTTACGGAACCGATAGTGTGCATACAAATAAGGGAGATCTTTTAAACGGATACGCAGGCAACACTCAGATTCTGGAAGAAGACTGAAGTCCGGAGGCGGCTAACAACCAGAACTTTCCCCCGGAGTTTACAGCCGGTGAAAGCGAAGAAGAACAAATGTAACCAGCCTTTCTTTATAACATTAGAAAACAGTTAACTCTAGTTGTATATCCTTTATATGACGTTTGTCAAAAAACCCTAGCATTTAGTAAGTAAAGCACCACTTTCCACGCCTTCGGGAGCATTGGGCATACAGGACTAGACCTAACGTTTTATAGACTGTGATTTTGTGGGTGATGTGGTCAGCATCACGCAGGTCGCCTTTACTTCAAAGGACTCTACCTGGTTCCACTAGCATTTAAAGGTTTTTATTTATTTTTTTGTTTTGAGTAAAAGTACGCAACTGCTTACTGCTAAATATATTTCACTAGCTCTTACTTGTTTGTGCCAGCACCTGGAATAGTTCCATTGGACCCGCAGCACCTGATGGGATTCGTTCTACCTGTGGAATGGCATATGGTGCTAATAGAAATAATGGTCTAGAAACTAAAATGCATGATTTATATGGTCATTACTATGTAGGTGAGAGACACATTGGTGTAGTGGATAGACGCTCTCCTGCGGATCTGAAGGTCCTAGGTTCCGATCCTGACAAAGCAGGACTGTTCTCCGTTCAAATGATCTTAGCTTCCATGTCGATTCTGCCTTAAATGGCTACCTGGTAAAGTCCTGGGAGGTAAAGGTGGCCAGCATAATACTGACCACATCACTCAACAAGTGCTGATTTTTATATGAAATATAGGTCTATACCTATATACCCATTACGCCTAAAGACATGGAAAAGGGTATATTTATATGCAAGAATTGCGCCTTCCTGATTAGTCATCACACTTTGTACTGAAGCGTTTTGGAATTTGCAGAAGAGACTGGAATTAGGATATACATCCCTACATTATGAGGAGACGGTGAAAGGGGTCCAGCCTGTTGACAGCCAGAGTATTACTGGATTATCAGCACCTACAACTTACATGTCGGCGTCTGTGGCTTAGGCGTTGCGAATGCGCTTCGTAATGCCGGGCTGCTGGGTTCGATGACAGCTACGGACGATTTGTCTCGCGTTGGTTTTGACAGTAGTATCGAAAGCTGAATGTTTAGGAGCAATGGCAAACTACTGAACCTAAAATTTGCCTACAACAGCCAAAAATTGCTGGAGTTGATTCTGCAATGTCCTGTGGTGGATACAAAACTCATCATCATGGAGCAGGTCCTTTGCAGAACGTCGCTCTCATCATGGTCTTAATGAAAGAAAACTGGTCTCTCGCCAGCTCTCTAGCCTCAAGTACTTTCATTTTCAAGAAGTCACTTATGGCATTTGTCCATCTTCGTGTTGGTCGGCCCCTGCCCCTCCTTCTTGGTACCATGCAGTCTTCTATTATTTGTTTCTAATTCGCCATGGCGCTAGATATGACCAAAATATTTCAGCTTCTGAGACAAGATGCTGTTTATTAGCCCATCTTCCTTCCTCTTCCATAATGAGTTTCTTTATATAATGATGTGGTAGTTCCCCCTTACTATCCACAACCACATGGCTTTAGACTAGTCTTCAGCCTTCAGCAATCTTTTAGATTTGCCAGGGCAAGTGAGTGCCCTTCTCTGTGATACTAACAGCAGAGGGCACCCCAGAGGTGTCCACTTATCCCGGTCGATACTCGGTCCCCATAGGTGGGTTAGCCACACCGCAGTGTGTTTGCCATCCTCTACCGAGTTGAGGTGCAGTCAGAGTTCTCCGTTCGCTGAGTTTTGAAACCAGAATGACCTTCCCAAAAACTATCCAGTACTTTTAAATGATATACGACTAAATTTTTTTTAAACTGCACACATGCCATATTTGCTGGGAAAATGGAGCTTCTGTGGGTATGTTATAATGGTTACGCAAACGATTTCTGATACCAAGAACAATTAACCATGGGGGGGGGGGGTGGAGACGGGAAAAAAAGGGGGGGGGGTTTAACATAGGTTCTGAACGATATTCAGTGCTAAGGGGACAACATGTTCAGATTTTTAATCAGGTTGCATCTCGCACTATTGACATACATAAAGTGATACCATATACTCTATGCTCCACTGTGTCCACCCAAACAGAATATGAATGACTTACTTGAAGAGGTTACAATGCCGGTCATATCATGGTCCACCCACTGACCCCACTGTACGAGCATGTGAGTGAAAGATTCGCCGCTGCTCTCCGCTGGGTGAACGGTAGTACTGACTAATCGGGGGCTGGGGAGTGGCGCTCCGTCCTCGCCTTTAGTACGTGGAGTGTTCACTCCTGTGGAATGTAAATCTTCAAATCATACGGATACAAACAACACATTGCACAGCTTATTGCGTGAACCGTATGTCTTAAGGTACATTACTGCAGCGTTACTACAGCTTTTTGAAGTCAAGACAAGGATTCACTAATCTGCTTCATAAATGTTATTGTTACTGTAAAATGCACCTGACGAGATACAACGAAATATGGCAGGCAAAAATTGTGCAATTCTATTGCTTGTGTCTTCTTTGTTGATATTAAAACATTAGGTCTTGCATCATCAGCTGGAAAAAGTGGCCTTTAGTTGTATTTTATGTAACATACTGCACAATGAAATTGTGAATTAGGATGAATTCCTAAAAGATGTCTATAGATGACATCTTATAATTGTTTGTTGGCTGAATATACCTCACTAAAGATTTGACCTGATATCATGGCAGACACAAACACACACACACACACACATATTTATATATACACACACCCATACATACAAACATACATACATATATATGTGTATGTTTGTATGGGTGTGTGTGTGTATATATATATATTATATATATATATAATATATATATATATATTATATATAAATATATAAATATATATACATATATATATATATTTATATATATATATATATGTATATAAATATACATACACCCATACAAACACATTTATATATATGTATATGTTTGTATTGGTGTGTGTATATATATGTACATGCATGCAGCCATGACAGACTCACCGTCATCATATGCTGGCGGCAGCAGTCTAGACAAGGGTGTAAAGGCAGCTCCGAGGTTTCTGGGATGGTTACAGGTGCCGTCGTATGTTCTGTACTTGGACTGTCGATAATCTGAGCACCACTGCAGACACAGACGCATTTTAGTTATCTACTTCATCTACTGTAGATTAATAAGCATGTACAACACACACACACATACACACGCACACAGACGTATTTAGACATTTATATGTGTGTGTTTGTGTAAGTTTTTATATCTACATATATATATATATATATATATATATATATATATATATATATGTGTGTGTGTGTGTGTGTGTGTGTGTGTGCGTGCGTGTGTATGTTTATATATATTAGGGATGTACCGAATAGTGATTTTCACTATATGGCCGAATACGAACAGCGGGACCAACTATTCGGCCGAATACGAATACGAATAGTGTATAGTGTATAGTGTATAAAATATATCTAAAAAACGCACATTTACAATGTCAAATGTACGATAAACTTTTACTTCACATAAAGAAACACAGAATAGTCATCTTCTTCTTTAGCATTCTGAGCCCTTGAGGTTTATTGCTGCAGATATCACACGTCTCCATCCATCTCTCTGGTTGGCCTTATCTTCACAATTTGTGACACCAGTTGTTTGCAGGTCTGGCTGGACATTATCTCTCGAACTTATTTTTTGTCTGCATCGTGGTCTACGCCTTTTCTTCTCTCAGTTGTATACAGTTTTTACTTTCTGTCATCTGACATTCTTTCAATATGCCCTAACCATTTTAGTGTGTTAACTCTCATGATGCCAGTGATCAATTGTATTTTAAACAGATTATGTTATGTTGTTGCTTCTGACTCTCCATTCTCCGCTGTTAGCATCTATGTGAAAAAATCCTAGCCTTCACTGGGGTTTGAACCCAGGACCTCTAGCACTCAGGGAGGACACCATGCCTCGAGGCCACGCAGCCTCTCCCGAAATCATATCACATGTTAATGTATGCATAGTTTGTTCAGCATGTAAATACGTCAATTTTTAAAAGATGTTTTAAGTAGGTTTATCATTTAACCATAATTATTCAGCCATGCCGCCCCCATGTGGGATGCAACTTTTCGTGTTTTTTTGTAGCCACACCCTAGCTTTTGCCGGGGGCCCTAAAATATTGCCGGACCATAGATATGGCCTAACGGCTGAACGGGGTTTCTGGGACCTCTCAACAGGCGATTCTCATCAAGGTAGCATCTTGTATCACCGGGTCTTTCTCGCTTTGTGTGATGTGCTGGTGGGGTACAACCTATATACATACATTTAACCATAAGTGCAGGCAAGCACAGAATCGGTGTACTTTGCTCGTGCTTCCTGCATTTAGATATAGCCCTACTTGTGTGAATTCTAACGTACCGCAATCGAAACCTACTGCTGGCTGTGTGGATGGCTATCCTCCGAATAACCGGCACATATTATGGCGGCCAAAAACACACCCTAACATGGCCTCAGTCACATGTGAATTGCGCTCTTCCGGCGACTTAAATTACGGACTTCCAGCGACTACCGTTACCGCGGGGCTAAACTAGATAGCTGGGACTCTTCTGCGTAGCGGCGTGTGAGATACCCTTCGGCGGTGGGAGCAGAAGTTCGCAATTTACATGAGGCTAAGGACCTGTTAGGGTGTGCTTTTTGCCGAAATAATATGTATGTCTATCTGGCCGGATAGGTTGTGTTCTCTCATTGTCCAGGTTTGGATCTGTCATCTCCTTCTGTGTCACTGAACTGGGGCGAGAAGTCCTCACTATAAGAAGACTGGTAAACAAACATTGAACTGGGGCGAGCAGTTGCTCACTACAAAAAGGCTAGTGAACGAACATTGAACTGGGGCAAGCTGTGCTCATTACAAGAAGGTAACATAACAGAAATAAACACTAGCTTGTACAATGCATTGGGGAAAAAGCGCATAAACGATCCTTACATCTTTCCCCCTTCCTCACCCTGAAAAAGAAAAAAAGAAGAAAGAAAAAAAAGAAGAAAGAAAGAAGAAAAAGAAAGAGGAAGAAAGAAAGAAGAAGAAAAAAGAAGAAAAAAAGAAAAGAAAAAAAGAAGAAGAAGGAAAGAAGAAGAAAGAAGAAGAAGAAAGAAAAAAACAGAAAAAAGAAGACAGAAAGAAAAAGACGAAAAAAGAAGAAGAAAGAAAAAGAAAAAAAAGGAAAAAAGAAAAAGAAAAAAAGAAAAAAAGAAGAAAAAAAGAAAAGAAGAAGAAGAAAAAGAAAGAAAAAAGAAGGGAAAAAACAAAAAAGAAAAAAGAAGAAGAAGGAAGAAGGGGGAAAAAAAAAAGAAGGAAGAAAAAGGTAAGAAAAAGGGGGAAAAAAAGAAAGAAGGGAAAAAAAGAAAGGAAGAAGAAAAGGAAAAAGAAAAAAGAAGGAAAAAGAAAAAGAAGAAAAAAAAAAAAAGAAAAAAAGAAAAAAAAAAAGAAAACGTTTCTACGGAAAGTAGCTTATTAAATATAAAGGACCTTTTAAAAATTTTAACAGCCTTAAAAATCGTGGTTTAAACACCACAAAGGAGAAAAAATGAGAATTTTGAGAGCATGCATTTTCCTGTGGTAAAACAGGTGTGAGGGGGGACCACTCTCACCCTTAAAAAAGGGAAAACGGGGGTTTTGAGCTGAAAGTATAGAAAGTTTCATAAATTTTGGGAAAAAAAGGATGAGAAATTTTTACATTAAAAATCTGAACATCAGGAAGTTTGGGCTAAAAACAGCATCCTGTTTTTGAAACGAAAAATTTGGGCATATCAAACGCCACGACGGATTGGAAAAAAAATAGCGAAGGAAAGGTTTCCAGGAATAGGGACAGGGGCCCACCGCACAAGACGGGCAAGGATATAAGTGATCCTTTTCTGTGAAAATGCTGACGCGGGGGGAAAATTGGGGAAGACCCGGTTTTTTGAGGCAGATGGATGATAGCGACGTTTGCACATGATATGAGATGTTTTTCCTGTAGAAGTTTTTAGCTCGGAAACTTCAGAGTTTCGAAGTTTAATTTTTAAGGGTAATTTTATTGGGTTTTAATAAATTTTTTTTTTGGGGTTTTAAAAATGTATTGTTGCTGGATTTTATCTTACTTACACTGAAAAAATTTCTAACATGATCAGACTGCTCTCTTTCTCCTCTCCTCCCCTCCTTCTCTCTCTCTCTCTTTTCCCCTTTCCTCTCTCCCTTTCTTTTTTGTTCTATTCTCCTTTTTCTTCTACTTTCATTCTCTCTCATTTTTCTCTTCTGCTCTCTTGTTTTCTCATATGCGCTGTTTTTTTGTTTTTATTCAGGCTTCCCCGCTGCGTATTTTTTTTTAAACTGGTTTTAAAGTTCCCCTATTTTTTTTAAAAACTCTTTGCGATCCCCATATGCACTTTTCCACTCCAGTTTTAGGTTTTCTTCCCATATCGAATATTTTTCCCCCTAAAATTTCCCATCGACCCGCCCGAATTCTTTTTTCC